AGTCCCAATGCATGCATTCCAGCCGCGTCTGGAGCTGTCGATCAGCAAAAAAAGCTTGTCCGGATCGGAGACATCTAATTCCATTGCCTGCAACCAAGCGGAGACTTCCTTGTGCTCGGTCATTTGCCTGAACTCATCCTCGGCATCGCCGGTGGGTTGCATGCGACGTCTACAACTCTTCAAGTGTCCTTGGCCTGAAAACAGCACAGAGCCCTGCACGACACATTTAACGAAGTGCTTCCCGGTGCAAAAGCTGAAGCAAGCTGCCTTGTGGCTTCGGTGTCTGTGTTTGCGGACCTGCGTACACAAAACTGTGGGAGAGGCGCCGCTGTGGAGCACGGCTGCTTCCGTGGAACTGTCAGAGCGATGCAGTGGAGAACCGAAGTTTGATGATACGACCGTGGCTTCGCGAGTTGTGAGTCGGCCTCCATTTCGGACTTTTGGAGTGCAAGAGCCAGCAGAGGCATCTCAGAGCCACTCGTTTGCGAAATGCCGTGGGCCTAGATTCTGTAGGATTCAGTGCCATTACAAATCTGCGAGCTGTGAACACGATGCCTGGATGTCTCCTGCATCATACCCAGCAGAGTGTTCGTTGCGATGTTCTGCGGATGGCACTAGCCTATGTGGGCCGCAACTCCAGCCTGCAACACGAAGCACAAGGTGGTCTCAATTGCAAGCCCATCAACGTCCCCATGACAAATCGTAAAGTGTTACGGCTTGACAAAAGGACCTGTCTCAATACCAAGGCACTATGTCAATGGCGCCATCACTGGACTTGTCTGCCAGGTGGAAAAATCGCTCCATCTTGAGGCGATGCATTTGAAAGTTGCGTTTGCGCTTCTGAATCATGACTCGGTCATCCGAAGCCGCGACATTGAATGTCTCCTGCATGAAGACACCGTTCACCTTGGAGGCAGGAAGTGAATGCAGGAAGCACAACATCCTGAAAACGGAGCTAGGCTAAGCAAGAAAAGTTGGTAGACTCTGGTTCCAAGCAACAACGCTCACCACTGCAAAGCCAATGGTCAGCTTGTGGAGAACTCCGAACAGCATGAACCACTCGGAGACGTTTTCTGCCAGTAGTCTGGAGGCCGGAGGCCAGTTCGCCAGGGTTATTTCAAACATGCTGTAGATGGACCTGCAGGGTCCCAAGTCAGATTTTCTGCGAAAAGAAAACATGCCTCCGCGTCACCGCGGAGAGAGAGCAGGCCAGAAGCAGTAGCCCGAAGCAGGTGCCTACCCACACTGCCGAAAAGAAGCGAACCGTTTTGGGCACACCATTACCACTTGATACCTTCAAGCACTGGTCGGATACCTTCAAGCAAGTGTCGGAGCATACCGATTTCAGAGAATACTTAAAGAACGATGGCACAACCCGTGGAATCAACAGAACAGTGGCAGAACAGCGTCCCGAAGGGTCTTGTGAGTATCCATTCAAGCTCGCGGGTTTCGGTCAGAGGATTCGCTTCTACAACTGCGTAACATCGTTGATCGTCATGCTGCTCTCGGATGCTTCTGCTTCTGGACTATGGGCAGCTGCCCTGAACATTTGCCACTACTGTTGACGCAACATCCGAAGAAGCCATCGGATTGTGGATGTCCCGGAACTAGCGGCTTCGGCTTGAGCGAGTTATGCAGGCAGGGCATAGGCTCCCAATGTCTCCGGGTGTCGGCCCCGCCAAGTAGCGCACCATGGGGCATTGTTGCATTTCGACTTCATAGATTGAAGACTATTGGGTCTCCAGGGTGTTGGAGATACTCCTAGTGAAGTCTGAACCTCAATAAGCTCACAACACAAAACTTCGGCCCAACAAGCTAGTGAATCATAAACTCAAACCAAAAGGTCGTGTCCCGTCAGTCCATCCATGGAACACGACGAAAACATATGATGTGTCCATAAACAGGCACATAAAAAGGCCTTTGCATATCCATATATATCCATATATATATATATATATTTGTGTATATATATATACATGCACATGTGTGCATGTGTATATACATATATGTATGTGTATATATATATATATATGTAAGTATATATACATATGTATATATGCATACATATGTATAGATACATGTATGTATATACATGTGTATATACACCTATGTACATATGCATATAAACATGTGTATATATATATACATACACATGGTGTGAACACATACATGTAATACACATGTACAAACACTCACCTTTACATACATGCATGCATCCATCCATGTATGAATGCATGCATGCATACATATATATATATATATGTAATACATACACACACACACACCTGGTGTCACTCTTGTTGCGATTGCTGTTGCTTGAACTACGGTTCTTGTTCCAACTATGGTCTTTGCAAATACTGCTGTTGCCAGAGGCCAGAGGCAGCGCGAAGGCAGGTTCCAGCCTGCTGAAGGTGCCGAAGTATTCGAACACAGCCTGTCCTCGGATCTCTGAAGGCGTCCAAAGAAGCGCAGCAGGCAAAGGTCTGCCGGTAAAAGCTATCTCTGCCGAGAGTCGGTTCGCTTCTGTAATGGACGTGTCATTGAAATAGTACTGTGTCAAGTAGCCATTGACGAGCAATGCCAAACCCATCTGTAGGAAGAAGAAGAGAACACATGCCTGTAGCTTCATGCTATGTCGGTTGGCTTCGAGCCTCTTGCGTTTACGGAGCAGACGCCCGACACCTGTAACCTGTCGGAAATGGCATGTTGCATCCAAGACGCCCATGCTAGGATGGACAAGCTGCCGCTCAGTGCCGTTGTGATGATATACAGCGCATCCAGACCTTGGATGCGATGACTGTGGCATTGATGGTTCCTGACATGTCGCACACAAAAACAAGTCAACCCCCCCAACTGCTAGACGCTATTGCCGGTGTGGTGGTGGCAGTGGCGGTGGTGGTGGTGTTGGTGGTGGTGGTAGCAGTGGTGCTGGTGCTGGTGCTGGCGCTAGTGGTGGGACTGGCACACCCTACTCCAACCACACTTGACACTTGAACACACTTACCAATCCGCGCTGAAGCCAAAGGGATCTTACGCCTGTTTGGATTCGCAGTTGCAGTACTCGCAATACTTGCGATGAATAACAAAGCACATCAGCTCACACCGAAAATGCAATACTGTCGGCTCTGTTCCTCCTCCTCCTCCGCCTGTTCCCGGTCATAATCCGCATGGACTTCCACAGGTAGCAAGACCATCAGGAGCACGTTCCCATCTATGCTGGATGACAACCGCCACCAATACCCACACCATGCGCTTCGTCGACATCAGCACCCTCACCATCACGGTTACTAGCATCCGGGTGTTCATTGTCCTGACTCCCACCTTTGCCAAAGCTATCATAATTTCTCCGTTCCTGCGATCATCCTCATCTACTTCCCCGTTACTGATTGAAAACTGCCAAAGTCACAGACAGGCGTCGTTAGTTCAAAATGGGGCGGAGAAATGACGTCATTTTAGGAAGGATGCAACTTCGTGTGGCTACTGCTACAGCATCATTCGTCGTGCAGGGAAAACTGAGATCACTGAGCGTGGCGCTCTTGATGGCCTGCATGAGCTGCACCAAGCCTTGAGGAATGACAGGTGTTTGACATCAAAAATGAGATAGCTTTAGGAGTTTAGGGACCAAGCACGGCACATGCCCGGGTATGCGTGAGACGAGCAGCGAAGTAGACGGACAAGCCGTGCAACTCGCAGCAGTGTTGCATCGACTGGCAAAACAGCCCCAGCAGTAATGTCGATTAGCCAGAAAAGAATGATCACCAAGTCAACCCAGTTCCAAGCGAGCCTCAGGGCGAGTAAGCAGCATAAGCATGGACATGGAATGTGTAAAGTCAGGTTCGGATTCCGAAATATCACGTAAGATGGAGCTCGGACAAGTTGCTTGAAGAAGCTCCGCCGCTGACCGGCCAGCTTCAGCATGAGTTCTAGTACATAAACAAATCCGAACGCAAAGCCGATCCACACAAATGATTGCTCCGCCGACGTCCAGGAGGCCACATAGCCCGGATCAATTTTGCCAAAGTTGATTGATGCACCAACGGAAAGACCCTGCCATTGTGCTTCAATTGCCATCGCAATTGTGTTCAGAAAGATTATGCAAGCAACCGCGATGTCGAACATTGGATGCCTGGTGATCCGCGTTACGGTGAACCAGAAATCAGATTGCATTTCTATCGCTGTGGATTCGAACAATCCCGACTCCCGGATTCCAGACTGTGACGACACAACCGGCAGCCAGGCTGTTCGGTTTGGAACAGGCCGTGCAACAGGAACGTCACTTGCGGTCACTGAGGAAACAGATGGCATGTCATCAGGAACGCCGCTGTCTCGTTTCTGGTCTTTCTCTGGGTCCTGGCACCCTTCGAAGATATCCAGTCTCGCGAGCAGACGCTCATTCTCATCATGCAGCCGCTGTAGATCCGCAGCATGGACTTCCCACAGCTTCCTGAGTGTCTCAGAAAATGCTTTGGTGGCGCCTGAAGGCTCGTGGGGTTCCAGAGTCTGTGATGGAGACGGCAAGGTCATCCGGCAAATGCCACATTCACATTGCTCTCACCAAACTGTGTGCATTGCATACGCTGCGGGAGGAGTAACCAGAAGCACATGCAGCTACGTTGCTCCTGAATACTTGCAGAGTAGCATTGCGCCTAGCAGCCTAGCATGGTAACACATCAAAAGGCTACGTCGGTCTCTGAGTCGACCTCTGCCAGGGTGACTGCCTCATCAAGCGATGGATAGCCACAAGCCAATGGATTTCGTAAATGGAACCCCTGTGATCCGGCAGTATCCAACAGTTTTCTCTGCAGAGCTTCAACGCTTCTCCGCTAGCTTGAGCTTGAGCTTCTGCAAAGTCCCCAGCAGCATCGCCATAGGGACCATTCAGGGCGTACCAAAGCGTGCGGACGTTCTCTTGGAACCTCATGGCGTTTATCTCATGTCTTCAATCGCGACTCGGAAATCAAGAACATCCCCAGAACTGTTGCAATGCAAAGACCTCCTTTTTACCGCCTGCCGTGCCGCCAAAATCCTTTGGAATGGGAGTTGATGGATCTTACAGCTGCGTTCTTGTCCGCAAGCGGGCGATCGAAGTTTCTCCGGCGGAACTTCCTGCGACAAGCGCGAGTCTTCAAGCTGCGGTCCCTTTGCCGTCATCTAGTCGCACCATGACACCCATCAGCCTGAAGGTCAGATGGCTCCCTCTCTTAACCCTCGACTGCTGGACGGCAAGACGCGAGTGCTCCTCGAGGGTGGGCGAGCCTTTGCCAGGGCGGCGGCTGCCTGCAAGGGCGGGAAACGCAGCCTACACCCGTTCATGAAGCGGGTTCGGAGTGGAAGGGACCACAGATCGTGGTTGATCATTCTTTCTTTTCTTTAGCTGACTCTTCGGCCACTTTCGTGGCCGCCCCTTTGCTTTGCAGAGTTCTTGAGCTCTCCGCCTTGTCCGGCTCCGGCAGCTCCTTCACGTTCAGGACGAGGCGTGTCCGATCCACGATAGAACTCCTCACACAAGAGCCCGTGGTCAGCGTCAGCTCGTTTCAGGACAGCTCGGGTACAAGGCGGTGCAAGGAGATGCAATAGAAAGCTGAGGAGTGACTTTGAGACCCGCCGGATTCTTTATCATGCTTGCTGAGTGAGAGAGTATGAGACGAAGGGCCTTGCTTTGCTTTGCCCGAACCTTGACCGCCAGCACCAAGGTCTAACCAGTGCTGCACTGCAGGCAGGGCACGTGGGGAAAGGTCCGATCTCGCGAGCCAGCTCAATGCCTCAGTGCCACAGCTCTTTTCTGCCGGGTGCCACCCTGCCCTCATCCTAGTCCTAGCTCGCAACTCGGCGAGGGGCACTTGGTAGCCTCAGCATGCCTTACCGTGGCAATGTGGCCAGTAAAGATGGAACGCCACAAGCCCGAATCGATGTCGATTTCGCTCGGCTAGGAGGTAAGCAGATCTTCGGAAGCACTTTGCACAACAAACAATTACTAACTTGAATGGTTGAGAAGTCCAGGCATAGGCGCCGACATCAATAGCAATAAAAAGCAGGACGTCTTCCAAATCGTCCCAACGAGCCGTGTTTCAGTTTTCACTGAACAGCTTTCGTCCACGAAGCTCGGATCGCTGAGGTCAGAACCGCTTCGGCCTTGAAGCCAAATCAGCGTCGGAAAGCCTGTGGCGGTCGACAAGTCTGTGAGGCTACAAAGAGAAGTCATAAGAAGTCTTGGCACTTCTGACTGCAGTCAAGTCTCGAGTGATGCCAAACTCGGTCATGATCTCGTCGTTCTTGCGACCATCGACAGTCACGATCCGAGCAGCACGGAGAAGGACTTGCGCAGCCCCTTCCAGCTGGTCCCTTGCACCAGGCAACTCTTACACCTCCCGTGATCCTGCGCAGGAAAGTGCCAAGCTTCGCGCCTGAATCTCAAATGTCGGGGACTCTGCTCGTCAACCACTGCCAGCAACAAAACCACGTCGCTCTCCTAGGCCGACTGGGTGTTTGGATTCCCCTTTCCGACTTCTCATATGCGTCCAAAGAGCTGCTTCCCTTTCGACTTGGAGCTGGCGCGAAGAAAAGCTCTGGATCACTCCTGGGAGGCGACAGCGACGCGCGCGCGCGCGCGCGCACCTCGCTCGGGGGGGGGGGGGGGGCGTAGACTCCCGAGCCGTTTCCGGCCGTCCTGGAGTGACTCCTTGTCGAGTAGGGCTGTAGTCTTGCTCCTTCTCGAGCTCTTCCAGCAGCGCCTGGCGGGCAAATTGCTTCAAACAGAGCTACTCAGATCTACGCGTGAGTCGTAAGCTCCAATTTGTGTTGGGCTCCCGACCTCTCGAAGCCCTTGTATGTCAATGGCGGAGATGACTTTGTGATGGCACCTGAAACGACTCCACTCTTACACTGCCAAGACAGCAATCATGTGTTGCTTTATCGAGCACCACACATGCTTGGAGCTGCACTGCCTCTGGTCTAACTCCTCCATCAGCTTCCGCCCTTGGTAACAAAGAGCAGTTTCAAGATTCTCTGCGACACACGAGGACGAGCACGATCAACGACACCGAACAGTCCGAAACGCTCAAGACCGAAAGACCGATATCACCGATGTCACTGCTATGAAGCACTAGCATGTTGCACACTTCTTGAAGTGGAACGAAGGCAAATGTTCCAAACAGGGAGCCTTGTTTGGTTCAAGCGGGTGCCTCACTAGGCTTGCTGAAAGGATCTGACGGGAAATCTGAACAGGCAATCAGTTATACTCACCTCTTCGCGGAACATTCGGGAGAGCCTCGTTGGATAGGAAAGAGCTCCACCTCCTCAGCCTCCTACGTTTGCAAGACACACGGTCGGGCTCACGTTCGTATCGATTCAGCAAACTTCATGCGTACTCCGTGCGACTATCCTTATAATCTCTCTACAACCTGACATCATCCAAGCAGCTGCCGAGTCCGTAAACCCACATCAGCATGTCCTGAAAAGGAGCGAAACACGGGGAAGGGATGGCGGAGATGTGCTATGCCTGCGTGCCAAGTCCTTGGAAATTCCGTCTGCGTACGTGTTGTTCTCATCCCCTAGGATTTGCCTCCGTGATGGGCCAGAAAGCTAGTGACAATGCTCATGAAAGCTCTACTGCTGGAAGCCTGACTCGCGATACATCTCGCGATCTGAGGTAGTCAGTGACACCGTCCACATTTCGGAGCAGCAAGTCCACCTGCAAAGCTTGAACCCAGCACAGATGCCGCGCAAGCTTACATGTGGTGAACCCTTGCCAGCCCAATCTCAGCTGAGCTGCTTTTCCCCAGGATGGCCAGCGTTGGGCCACCCCGAACCTTAGAGCCAGGTGGCGTCGACTAAAGAAGTCTTGCTATGGTTCAGCACATGGTTCAACGGTTTACCACGGTTTACCTGATGCTTTGCGCTGAGGCACTTGTCCGGCTCATCGAGCTTAGCATCTTGACGCAACAGCTTCTGCCCAGGATTCGAGATCCGTGTGCGCAGGGCCGTCCCGCCGCCTTTTTTGTGCTGGAGAGATGTATCAGTACAGTGCACATCCTAGAGTCCTCGTTAGACATGAACGTCGAATTGGCATGGCACATCATGGCACACCGTGCCTGGAGCTGACATCATCTCGTTGTAGAGGTTGCGAGCAGGATCTGCGTGCTCATCCTCTGGAGCCAAATACTTGCATATCTCTCCGGACGTGCTGGACCCCCCCCCCCCCAGCGGAGCGTCCTCGTACTTGGCCATTCCTGCAACCAAATCCCCTTTCTGCAGCATACCTCAGGCCCTCAGGACTGGGATCAGGCCTGCGTCGTCTTGGTACCACCGGCGACCACCGATGTTCTTCGGAGGCAGCCACCTGGCGCCCTGCTGAATGGTCCACGTCATGTTGGTACCTTCGCAAAAATGCTTGTTCACAACAAGAACTGTAAGCCTCCCTGCTTCGGCCTTCCGCTGGTTCCATAAACTGGGCCCCTGCGTTGTAGCACACCTCCAGGACTTTTTCACTTTTTCAAGTGTCAAGCACGGGAGATATGGTTTTCGTGCCCCACAAAAACGCTGTCTGCCGCTGACTCGACAGATTCCGCCAGCCTGCTGGAGCCACTGGGTGCTCTCCTTGGTAAAGTTCTCAGGCAGCAGCTGCCCACCAACGAAGACGAAGGAAGTGCCCACTTGCTCGGCGTCCGCCATCCTGTCGGCTGCGCAGCTTCGCACGGAATCGCAACAAAAAGCGCAGCATCGGCCTGCGGTGGTCTTCCCGCAACTGCTCCAGCAAAGCATCGCCGGCCGAGCCCAGTCGGTCCAGCTCGAGTAGATCAAAGCGAACACAAGCCTCCTCCAAAGACTTCTTGGCTTCCTCAGCCGCTTGCCGTGCTCAGTGAACCTAGCTACTAGTTGCCAGCGGTTCCTACGGATGTGTGAACAGAACACGTCTCAAATTTCTTCATGAATTCCAAGCGAGAGACTCGCAAGCTGGCCCCGTCGGACTCGGAGATTAACACTACCGGGCTCTTGGACAACTCCTGGGCTTGACGACTGAAGTCACAGCGCTTGCTCGGGCGCTGTCGTGCCTGCGCTAACCAGTCTGATGCCCAGTCGTCTGCTGCCCTCGACTGCACGACCTGCACTGCTTCCACACTGTTCTACCTGCTCGTGGCTCTACGACAGGGTCTTTCCGCAAGCTTTCATCTTGAAGTGCAGACGCCTTTCTTTGAGAGCCTTGCTTCGGGCTTCTGCTCCACAGCCTGCCGAAAAAGCACATCTGCTTCGGCCCCTACCTGTTTCTCCCTCTAGTCTCTCCACACTGGGCATGTTCCAGCCTGGGCCGAACTCCGGCCGTGCAGAAACAGGCAGCGGAGGCCTTGGCATAAGACGGCCATGGAACTTGCCATTGCATCTTGTAGCTGCTGCCGTGTCACGCAAGCCACGGCACAAAGCCAGACCACGGACAGGCGTGGCACCCGATTCCTTCAGAATCGATCTTAGCAGTTCGGTAACCAAACATACTATCCTGCTACTTCCTCGGTCCTGGCACGGCTGCTAGCGCGGCCCCACGGCATCACAGTAGCTTGAAAGTGGCCCCGTGCTGACGCTTCACTGCTTGCTCACTGCTGACTGGTCCGAATAGTTCGGAGTAGAGACTGGGCCTCGCCGTCGGATAGGCGCCAGCATAGGCATACAGACTTTAGGCCGGTCATCTAGTGGCTGACGGATAACGCGGCTGGATCTGCATAAGTTGGTGATATGCGCTTCGTTCGCCCTAGGTGCCGTTTGTGGTAGTGGGCCCAAGGGATCGGAAAATGCAGCCGTGATTCACACGGCGTGGATCCCTTCGAGCCGGCGCAGAATGGAGGCACGGAACGACATTCACTGCATCTCACGCACGTGCGGCTTCAATCTTTTGTCGCTAGCCACTTAAACAAGAAGCTGAGTTGCTGGGCGTCCCGACCCAAGCTCTCTGCATCGCTGTGCCAACTGTGGCAAAGTCAGCTGGCCACGGCTTTCTGGATCCTGCTCGAAGCAAGCTTACAGCTTTTCCTGAAGCATCTTCATGCTGCACGCAAGAGGGACGAGAAGAAACCAAGTAACTGGCAAGTCTTGAGACATCTTGGGAACAGGGTTTCGCTGAAAAAACCGGTGGTAGCACCCCAGCGGTACATGACGTGCCCAAGCAGCCAAGACCAGTGCAAGCGGTCGGTCCAGAAGGTAGCGCCTTGGATCGCTTACAAAAGCGTTGGGGCGGTTCTCAAGCTGCAGGCTATGCGCGGGGCCAGGCCCGAGCGTAGTTGCCTCCTGGTAATGACTTGAGCGGGGACATGTCGGAATCTGTGAATGGCCCAGGCGAGCCTCTTGCAAGAAGCATCTTCTTGAACTCACCTTTGACTGGTGGCAAGAATCTAGAAGCTCGTGACACCACATTCCGTTTCTTATCAGCTCAGGCCCTCACCAATGATTTTGTCGCCGGCTGGACCGATCGCACTGCAATCGAGAACGAGCAAGACTGATCGATGCTTATTCTTGTCAGTACTGCATCTCGCGACCGTTGCAGGCCTGGCAATCGACTTGGGCATGGCAGGCTGTGCTCTGGCTTTTGGAGGTGTCTTCGACTGGGGCTCAGGTTCCTGCAGCTCTGGCGTGTGCACTGGAGTTCTCCCTGCTCGGTGCTTTCGAGGGAGAGGTTGCAGTCCTCGAAGCTTCTTATATTCTCCAGCCAGAAATTGTCATCCTGCGCTATCCTGATGAGCTGTGCCCGCTGGTGTGCCTGTCGAGTGTCTGCGTGCCATGAGCTGTCAAGATGCCTGCTGCTTGAAGGTAGACTCAAACTGACGGCGCGCGCCTCACTGGCTGCAGAGTTGGTGCTGCTGGCTGCCATGCGCTTCTGTGCAATGAACTTCGCCGTTGAGTCCTCGGGCGTAAGGCGTAAGGCCATTGAACCCTAAGTACAGGAAGGAACCCTGACCCGTCATGTCTTGGCAAGGCTGAAGATGAAGCTGAGAAGGCAGCCTGCGTTCTTTTTACAGCAGCCATCCACTCTTTCCTGCCAAACACTTTTTCGGAATTCGGTAAAGGCACACGAACGCCGTGGACAAATTGCCCGTGGTTCCTCTGCAATTGAGCTTGCTCTTTTGCTGCAGCTTGAGCCTGCTGGAGCAACTGGCTTCCTGCAGCCAGCGCATGCTAAGATGCTACATCTTTGCAAAATGGCCCCTAACTGCCCTGCCTCGTACTTGTGAAACCGATTCTTCCACGGGTTTCTTCTTCACCCCGGCCGCTAGGGCACGAGCCTGCTGGATCTCCCGGCGGGCTGTGCCTCACCCGCAGCTGCTAGTTGGCACTGAAGAACACATGAAGCCACAGCCATAAACATGTGCTTTAGAGATGCTGCACTTTGTTGATGCTGCCGGGCTGGAGGCTCGCACGTACCTTGGCAGTTCGCTCTGCACTGCAGACGAAAAACGGTCTGCAATCCTGCGTTGCGTGCACTCTTGGGCTCGCAGAATTGGTGCGCAGCTTATCTGCCTGACCACATAAGTGGCAGCGCCGCGGGTCATTGCACCGATTCCTGAAAAACGTACAGGCCTTCTTCTTGGCCTCGGCTGTGAGAGGTGGCGTGTTCGACCTTCGCGCGCGTGCTCCTAGCGGATTTCGTTTTCCCAGCAGCTGCTCGACTTTTGCCTTATGCATCTGGACTGTGCACTGAAGGTCCGTCCTCTCGCGCTGCAGTGCGAAGGCCCCGTGAAAGGCTGAGGGGATGCACTCCGAGAGTTCGGTCGAATCTGGCAGAGGCACAGCGAAGGTACTGCAAGGGAACAGAGGCTTCTGTGCCAGAAAAAGAGTGGATTTGGCCTTGGGTGTCGCCCGTGGCGTTGCTGAGGCCGCGTCACCTGGATTCCACGGAGAAGAGAGGCAAGAGGGCTCCAGCACGATATATCAACGCACATCACCGCACAGGCGAGCAAGGAGCGACGGTCACAAGCAAGACATGGACAGCATGCGCACAAAACAACTTGCCAGCAGCATGTGTGCCGTAGCCCTACTAGGGAAGCCGCGATGGATGTCCTCATGACAGGCTCGGCGTGGCTTTCTGTTTTGCTCGAGACTACCGTGACTACCAAAACGTCCAGTCGTCGTTTGCGAGGAAAACAGGAACACATGAAGTGCAGAGGCAGGAAGCCAAAACAACAGGTCATTTCAGGCATTGAAAGGTTAGAGGATGCACAACGAAGACTGAGAACACCAAGATTCCAACGAAACAGTGAAGAACAAGGGCAATTGCCCATCAATCTCTTGCGACAAGGCATCTTCCGAGGCACGTTGTATCACCTCCGAGTGGCATTTCTTCACAAGGATTTGGAATTAAACCTGACGATATTGCAATAGCCTGATACTCTCAAACCACTACCTTAACCGGTCTTCGACCATGCAAAAACCTAGGCTCTCAGCCCAACCCTGCAGAATCCTTTGGAGATGGAGTCGAGTGGCCTTGCAGAAGTCCTTTGCCGGGATCCCTGATGGAGTCATTGGCTTGAACTGCATCAGGCCGAGTACCTGTCGGACATGCGGCTTTAAGGCCTTCGCCCTTGGAAGGCCAATCAGTCATGTCCTTTCCTTTCCTGTGGAGCTCAAAACTCCAGGCCTGTGCGCTTAGCAGTTGCCGCAGCCACCTGGCCAAGAAGCACCGGCCTTGTCAGCACTGAAGGAAGATGTTCCCCGACCTCTCTGGGGCTCGCTGCTCTGAGATGCTCGGGCCTCCAAGCGACTTGCTGCAGACTGATAGTCCCTTAAGGTTCCTTATAGTAGTCTCTATAACCCATTCCTAGGGACTGCTATAAGGGACCTTAAGGGACTATCATAAGGATCCCATTCCCCCATTCCCTACTAAGCGCAGCGGATCACCCAAGGAAACTCTTCGGCATCAGGCCTCCTCGGTGGGCTTTCACTCGGTTGAGGTCGTGGGACACGCCTAACAGGCAGGCTGCCGCCACCACCTTAGACTTGCAGATCGCGCCAGTCGGGACCCGAGCTTGTTGCTGCAATGACAACTTGTCCAGATTGATGAAGCTGACATCAACAGCAACAGCGACGACAGCACCAGCAGATTGTAAGAAACAGCCGGCAGGAAACCGAATTGCCAGGCCACTGCTAGAGCTCGAAGCCCTGCGCTCCACTTCGGCACCTGGCAGCAACGATCTGACAAAGAGGAACCCTTAAACATCCTTAACTCCAAAGCCCTAAACTGCCATAACCTGGAGGCCTCCAGCAAGCTTCGCCAGGTTGGGCTCCGGTTGCTGGGCAAACTCGCTCATGGGAAGTCATCCCGAGAGAGGTCGGACAAGCAATATACCAGTGTCGCTCTATCGAGGCTATCTCCTGTGACTGAGCACGGCCGTGCGTGACTCGCGTGGCATCCTAGACTTGTCTCAGCCAAGTCATGTCATCATGCGAAGTTCAATTTGGGGCCAATTGACGGCTTGCCCTTCACATTCAAAAGCTACTCATCAGCTATGTCAGGTGTTGGTGATCATGGATAGTCGTGGGCAACTGGGAGGCAGCAGCTTCCGGGAAGAATAAATGCGCATCACTTCTTGTCATAACACAGCTGAGCAATCCTGGAAAAGGCAACATTACTACATGGCTTCACCAAATACAACACCTTGCAACACGCCTGCAATGAAGTGCACCGTGCCCAGGAACAGGGGAAAAGCAAACGTTGATACATGTTCCTAGGTTCCCGATCGAACGAGAAAAGCAGCGGCAAGGACTTTTTCAAACATCTCGCAAGGCTTCTGCTCATGCTTTTCCTCACTTCCTCAGGAAGCAGTTGTCGAAGCACAACTTTTGCAAATGAAATCTGCGCAATGCTGTGACGGAGCTGGGTGCAGAACTTGGCTGGCTTTGGCGGACGGTATGTTCTGCTCAAGTGGGGGCGAGGAAACCTCATCACATGACAAAGTCGCAGTGCAGAGAGAGCCTCTACCGCGAATTGCCGTGGCCAAGCCTTCCTGTCTCGTCTTTCGGGGGGTCTTCGTCGGGACCCAGCTCCACGCCTGTCCTGTTGGCTCGCTCGGGCTAGGGGTATCAGGAGCAACCGGAGGTAAGTCCTGTAGAAATGTAGCCTGCGATCCACATCGGTAGTGATCGTCTTGAAGCGAGAGCGCTTCGGCTCGTAGGGTGGTCGCCTCACGTATGGAGTCTCAAGGCGTCCGATGCACGACTGGGGCTGTCAATCGCCAAGTCACTTCACACCGTACCTTGATCGAGAACTCCTGAGTTGCTATCTGCACCATGGTGCTGCACACATCATTTTCGAGGAGCCAGCACAAGGCTGTGACAAGCCTGGGGGACGGACTTGCGATTCTTGACTGGAAGGAGGTCGTAGAGTCCGCGCATGCACGTGTAGTTGCATCCTGCCGATCCATGACATCGTGGACAGTGCGATTCAGAAGCGAGGAGTGCAAGCTGCTTACAAAACATGCCAGCGGCTCCGGGCACATCCCTCCGTTTGCCACCTCTGACCATAACGACGGAGTGAACCTGGCCCCAGCCGTCGCATCCGTCGCGACTAAGTTCTTTCGGTAGCCGCTGTAAGAACACAGAAACTCAGATCAACGCATGTCTTGGCCCCAAAGAGCGAATTCGCAAGGCTAGAGATCCCCGCCGACGCTTTGAGGGGCCTGCAGGTTGTGGCCGATGCCTGGAATGTAGGCCTCGAGCAAAACGACAGACTACGGCTACGGTGAATGACGGATACCTTGAGTTCGGCTCCTACCCGACCTGTCCAAGTAGAAGCCTGAACTTTAGACCCTAAACCCTAAACCCCTAAACCCTAAACCACTTATTGTGCAAACCGGCCTTCACCACGCGTCCGTTCGAGAGCCGGACATATGCAACCTAGGCAGCTTCTGGGTTCGGCATGCGCCTTCCTACACAGAGAGCCCAAGACCCCCCGAATTCAAGGTGCATACCTTGAAGCAAAGGAGGCGTCATGGTATGATTTTATGATTGGAGGGTACTGGGCTCTTTAGGTGGTAGTTCCATCCAGCCGCCTTTCGAAGACCAGAATTAGGCTTCCTCGGGAACTGCACGAAGACCTTCATGCAAGCAAATCAGCTCCGAAAATCTCCCAACGCCGAATTAGACAGACCCCTGTGGTGGCCTTGGTGCAAACGCCTTTCCGGTTTCCCGCCCCCTCCAGCCACTTCGACTTGGCATTGAAGCTCCAGTTCGGGATCTCAGCTCAAAGCAGACATCAAACAGGTGGTTGAACGGTGAGTCACATCCACCTTGGAGCCGCACCATCTTTGGCCTGCGCTTGTAGAAGAGGCGCCCGCGAAGGTTCCTGTACAGGGAGTGCACCTATTGACAACCGCGAGGCTGTTTACCTTCGATCTAATTCGAACTACCACTCCTGGTGCTGAAGCCGCGTCTGCCCTGACAATTGCTAGCCACCGGGGGGCTGAGCATGGTGAAGCGAGCCATTGACAGCTCGCGTCTCTGACAGAGGGAAGACCCTTGCGCTGTGAGCGCATTGGGCACCGCAGTGAATGAGGGCAGCCCTCGCCCTGGAATGCAGGGTTTCAAGAATTGACGGGCCACCCGGTTGCCAATCTGGTAACATTGGCTGGCAACTCGAGCGAGCATGGCTCAGCACCCGCTGTGTGGATCCATAACCCCGCTCTAGCTGGTAGGTGCTCTAAAAAGCATAACTAAACGTGCACTTGTAACAGTTTTTTAGTAGCTGCTCGTAGAGCGACTTCCTGCTATGTTGCTGATCTGAACCATTCGCGAGCTGTTGAGAATGCTTGTCTCAGTCACTGAAGACTCCACAAGAACAGCAGCAACACCCTTTCGTCACTTCAAAGGTGTTGCTCGGACGACTTTCTAAACCAGACAGCCCTTCTGAAACTGGATGAAGACAATCCTCAACCAGCACCCATCGCTTGACCTTGCCAGCTCCGACAAGTCTCGTATGATTCCAGACAGCATGTCTGAGCTGGACGCCGCTGTACACTAACCTCACTAGGCTCCCCAAGAACCGTGCGAAAGCATCGCCCTTTTTATTTACCTGAACGGGTCTAAGACGCCTCGTTGCCACAGCCCGGGCCCGACCCTGCGCACGTCCACGACGAGGCGCAGGGAGCAAAGCTCTCGGCTCTCAGAGCCCTTCAACGGGGACTCCGCGGAGTCCAAGAGCCGCACTTCCAGCAGCCCAAGGCTATCGAGAGCCGAGGCCGGTAGCGCGTCCGGCGGCACGCCGGACACGAAGAGCTCCACACTGCGAGAGGACGCGCCGTCCTCCGCGTCCTCGGAGCTTTCCTTGATGCGATCCACAGGCAGCAGCACTGGAACCTGGTGGTGCACGAGGTCTGCCAGGAACTTCACCTGCCACTGCGCCTTTGGCAGCGGCGCCTCTGATCGCAGATCGATCTCAATGCGGAAGGGTGCATCTAGAGCACAGATAGTTGGGTCGACACCAACACGAACCACCTGACAGTGCAAGCACCATGAACAATCATGGCGTCTGGTTTGCCACAGAATGGCCTCTATGTCAGCAGCAGTGGCAGCAGGACGCTGCCTCTCGGCCTCATGGAGTGCACCAAGACGAGGGCCGCTGCAAGCATGTCCCTTGAAAAGCGCACAGCTTTGAGCACCAGGCCATTGCCTGAAGTCTCGTCTCGGCTCATTGCTCTGTAAGCTACGCATGTCGCAACTCGAGCAGCTGACAGAATGAGTCACGATCTTTGGGAACGTCCATTAGAACGGCTTCTGCCGCAGCAAGCAGGTAAAGCTTCACCTTCATTCGGATTTCATACAATATGTCGCATGGACATGGCACACCTCCTGGCGGTTTTCGCAGTCACGAGCATGCGCGGCTGCATGTGCATTAACAGCTGGCCACCCGAGGCTGCAATCAGAACTGGATGCTAAAATGCTCACAGCCTGAATGCTCGGGGTACCAGATGCCGCGGATGTTCGAGCATAGTCTAGCCACCGGAACCCCTGCTTACAATCGCATCCCTCGCACATAGCTTGCACGACACCATTCGGGCCAGACAATGCTGAACAATGGGCTGTGTGAAAGCGGCGGCAGAAGCTACGAAACAGAAACTGGAGATGCGAGAGATCAGATTCACTCGAAGACATCCTCTACAGGATCTTCGGGAAGCTCGTTCGCCTGTGGCGGCTCGTGAACGGAATGCAACAGAAAGCAGCACTTTGATGCACTTGCGGCTCTCATTGCGGGCCTTCTTGCGCTCTTCTCTCTCGGCTTTGTCGTTGAGCTTCTTTACCTCTGGAACGAAAGGTTGCAGTTGAGGCATAGCCTAGCATAGTTCTGCAGCGCTCCCCGCGTATCAAGGAACCTGTGATTTGCACAATCTCCTGGTAGCAATCTCGTTTTGCTGCTGGACTTGGGAGATGTTTGGTTTGGTTGGTACCGCATGGTTTGGCACCCGAGCTGCAAAAGTTGGGATTGCCCACCGCGTCACGGTTTGTGCTGGGCGTGGCTTTGTCCAAACAGTGTCATGTGGACATGGTTGTCGTTCGTCGCGGGTTCATCAGCCAGGGGCATGTCAACATTCTTGGTGTCGAGATATTCACATGACGCCGCAAGTGCCTAGAGTCTCGCGACTGCTACGGCTAGAGCTGTTTTCGAAAGTGCCTAGTGTGGCTAGAGCTGTTGGAATGACAGTGGCGTGGGAATTGAGGGAGACACTGGGCGGCCGAGGGACATGTCCTGTGTAGTTTAGGGTTTAGGGTTTA